CTCGACGACACCGGGTACAAGATCCAGCCAGAGAAAGCATTCGAGGTTGTTAATTGCATCCCACCCAATCGATCGAGGGCAGCCCGAGTTTGGACATTAGCTATGGCCGAGGCGATCGCCATTCGTTTACTAGGCTCCAAAACGGCTGGTTCAAGCGCTTTTCAACTGCCCTGGCCCCGTGTGAAAACCAAAACAGAACATGACATGTCCCTTGACCCCAATAGCGAAAGGTCACATCCACTGAAACAATAAACACTCCTGCACACACACACACACACACATACACACACACATCCCCTTCTCTCCGACTCCGATCAGAGACTTTTATTTAATAAATTAATCAAAACATGGATCTTTTCTTACCTGTTGTAGCACAAAGCATGCTAACGCGATCCAGTCGCAGGTGCATACTCGGGATGTGGTCGGACGTTTTGTACACCAGAGCAGGAAACCGAGAAACGGCACAAACATGGTACTGATTTGCATGTAAAACCAACAAGTGACCACTTCGTGAAATTTACCGAAAGCGAACCGGAAAAATTCCACATCATAGGTGGACATGGAATTTTTCGGATCTAGCAAATCCACCAAAATAGTGTTCAGGGAGAAAATGACTAGAATAGCAACAAACATGTGATACACCGTCCGGATATGTGAGATCTCAAATAGCACGGTCAGAACGGAATCTCGACGACAGAAAACTTTATCCAGTAGATTTTTGTTAGCCGAAGACCCACCGGTTTGACGTCTGATTGGAACCAGAAAGGGGAACAGAATCGGGCAGAACAGAAAGCAATCAGAATAAATTACTAAGTTTGACTGCGATTCGCAATATCAATTAAATACAATGTAATTGGCAAAATTTGACCTAGAAATCAAGTCTATTCACATCGGCCGTTGTTGTGCATATTATAAATCGGTGTTAGACAACGGTGAAAAACACTACCTCGTTAGTTTTTTGTGATCATGAAAATGTATTTGGTTCTCTTGACCAAAGGATGCCCATTTAAAATCTTCTAGTGTTCATATCTAGACAGTTTCGTTTTGAATGTTTTTATCGACTAATTTTCTCCAAAAAAATGTCCATTTGATTCAGTCAACGCTCCATACTCCTGTTCTGGGGTATTCATCGATTTGGTTACTATTCTGCTCCATTAGTTGCTTCCTTGTACATACACAATCACACCATTCGTCGAAACTATATTGCTGATGACAATGGAATTACAGTTCACGCCCCATCCAGGACAGTTTAAATGAACTTGATGATTGGTTTGAGTCCATACCCCTGGTACTTCTTATCGCTCTGTTTCTCGATTTTCCCTTTACTAAGAAAACTGGTCAAAATCTAAAGTAGTTTCAATTCTGATTATGTTTAAACCGTGTAGCTATCCTCAACCATGGGCTTTTCGGTCTACTCAAACAGAAAATGTATTCATCCCAAACCCAAAAAATGTGCTATTTCATACATTCCGACTCGGTAGGCGGTCCGTTTATTGAACTTTGATTTTTGAATTTAAGATCAATTTAAGATATTTCCGACCGGTTACACTGCTCCCCGATGTTTCTGTCCGGTTTAAGGAAAATAAGATTTCATCATTTTGTTCAGGTCTGTTGAACTTTGGTTCCGGTACAATGGCATTCATAGAACTACTTTTTTGCGAGTCTTTTCTGTCCCCAAGTATTTTAAATTAAGTGATAAGTTTATTGTCGGGATAGATCGAGATCAAGGACGCGGTTTACATTCCCCTTCCCCCCAAATTCTTAACTGAACTGTGATTTTCAGCTACCATTGTAAACGTTACCGAACTTGTAGGTAATTGTATAAAAATTGTAATTTGCCCTGATAAAAGTTTATCACGGTCGAAATTGTACTGCTCGAAACTGTTCATCTTATCCCTGTCTTTTTTTTATCGCAATGTAACTCACCAACTTTTGAATTGACTTTAATTGAAAAAAAAATATTGAACCCAACGTCCCGGAACAAATTGAGTTGTACAGCTTTTAACTGAGATTACTCGGAATTGCCGGGCTTATTAGTGTGAAGATGTAGTAATTCATTGCCAATTTCAAGAGTCACCGTGATTAAGTGGTGTGTGTGTGCCAATGGTGTTTACTGTGCTGATCACTTTGGTATACTTATTTTTGTCACTTAATTGGTTCCCGAGTGTCTTATAATAAATCAAATCGACTGGAATGAATCAATGAACAAAATTCGAAAATTCGAAAATTCGATTATCGTCTAACCGATTGTAATTAGTCGATCACAGTAGATAAGACCATTTTGGCTTTTTTCGAGCTCTCACAAATTCACACACATTCGTACCGAGTATCAGGGGCGGCAATTTGATGCACTGTCGGATAGAAAACTATTATTAGTTCATGATAAATACATACCCTCAGTTGATTGGTAGGGGAGGGTTTCTAGACTTGCTTAATATTTATGGATTTGAACTGTCTATCCTTCGGACTTCAACCTTCACGCGCAATCCTCAGTTTATCAATTCAGCCAGATCAGCCTGGTCAGCACAGTATTGTAACAAACGCTTTCTGTGCGATGGATCCAGAGTTCAAAGCCCGGACTAGACGGCGGATATACATTATTGATGAGCTCAAATAAGAGTGAAACTCGAGTCTAGTGCTTCCTGTTGGATCGTTGAGTCGATGAACTGAAGATTATGCGTGAAGGTGAAATCCGAAGGATAATCAGTTCAAATCAATAAGTATCAATTATCCCACACCACTGATCAAAATTACCTGAGCCAAATGCGAGTTAGTTGTTAGTGTCTAAATTCAAAATTTTGTTTCCGTTCGTTGAAGCTCTCGTAACAGGTTTAGGAAGCTAATGAACACACTGATTTGCTGAATGCAAGTTAAAAACACAATACACAGTTTTGCAATACAGTTTTATCGAATATCAAGTAGTTACGTGTAATTATTTCACCTAGGGACTGGAATTAGATTTCGACATCACAGATATGTTTCAAACTTTTATTAATGGCACTTTAAGCTTCATTCATTGCCTGCTAATCAGTCGAACACACGATCGTCGTTATTAATCCACAAAAGTATTGCGTCTGGGAGCAACTTGTCTCGCTACACCCTCCCCCATTCTATGTTTTGAACACAAAGAACAAAAGTTTTAACTGAAACTGTGTGTTCGGTGTTCGCGTAGCAATTGCGGTTCTACCGTGTACTAAATACCCCACGTGGGAAGTACAGGCGTTGTAACACTAACACGATATAGGCTAACACATTGTGCACAGAGACCCAATATCAGAGATATCATCTTGAGTGGCATTTGATCTAGCTAGAATTTAGTATCAGGCGTTCTGAAATTCACTAAAAGGTCATTTACGAGATCAGCCTTGCACTTCACATGGGTGATCAACCGTGATCGGTGGGATTGCATGTGATTCCAAAGAATACGGGGCCATTTCGAAGGGGGACTAATTGTGATCCGGATTGACTGCATTTGTTATCTGTACACATTGTTTTATTAAATGCAACCTTCCTCGGGAATGTTCGTTCAAGTTTTTTTTTCGTAGTTTGAAATTGAATCCAGTTCAACAGCGTAACTTTCGACTACCAAATTTGGCATTACGACCATTTTTTTCATTCGTTTTTTGGTCATAAGGTCTTCTCGAAAGAAATAGAACGCTTGACAAATCGCCCAATTTAAACATTTTTTCATCATACGGACAAACGTAACAGGCGTCGAAATCTCCTTTGTGGTTTTTATTTCCTATCTAATTGTATTCAGAGTATTTAAAATGTATGAGCAATGTGCTGTTTTTATTCTTGTTGGTACACCTAGAACTGTAGCAGTGATCACGTCTGATTCAGTGGGAGCACGTGTCTATTGANCTACCCGCAAACCAACTCTTGCTACTGTCCTCCAAATCACACATTATAGACCGATTCAAATGTTGGATGCGAAGCCTCTGACAGTGGCAGAATAGACAGACACGAATCGAAGACTTTAACAGTGATTGGCCGAGTTACATGATCAAACGTCATTCTTTAATTTGACCCCTCAACCCTTTCATCCTCAAACACAAACGAGTATTGTCCATCACACCGCACGACTATCAACCGCCATCCTTATGGAGAAACACGGACAGCTTGCGTCGTCAAGTGGTCAACGCTTATCGATGCTGGAACATGGAAACCTGTCCTCTCTCTCTCTCTGTGTAGACGAAAGTGGCGGCCATTCAGCGCTAACAGAATGATCATTCGGTCCGGTTGTACATAGTTGCATGTCACTGTTAAATGACAGCTGTTTTCAGTCTAACTGTATCTACCGATTGAGATACAGCGAAATTTGCATTGACGCAAATCGTGCCACGTAGCTTTATTGGCCTCTCCAAGTTCATATCAGAAGATCGGTGTTAAGGTTATTTTCATATGGGTATCTTTTGACAACGGAATAATGATTCAATAGCGTAGCGAAACTAATTAGAACGGGGACGTGAAGGGACAGAGACGAGGGTTCAAGCATTCAACGGACACACAGCAAACACATCAGTAAATCTTAGAGTTGATCCATTCGTTGACGTGAGACATAGTAAATCAGTTCAGTACTTTCAGCGCAACTTCTTTACCGTTCTCCTGGGAATGTTTCATGTTTCAGGAATTGAGAAATAAAGAATGAATTTCATCAGTTGTAGCAAATTGGGGACTGAATGTTAATGGTTTTCTGTTCCATCACTTGTCCGTTTCTGCGATTGCGTCTGGTGTACGATAGTGCATGGTTAATGGTTGTAGAAACTGAACTGACTGAGCTGTTGGGCAGAACCTGTCTGAGTACAAACTGTGCCATCTTAAGTGACTGTTTTCTTTGATGATATTCATTGCACACTTTTGACACAGAACAGTCAGTATTATCGGTTTATTATGGAGGATGATTTGTATAGCCAAGTGTCTGAGACTGTCGCACATGAAATTAACTGACAAAAAACCCTTACCATGATATAATTACCAAAAGCAATGACGTCACTTACGGGTCAAGTATACAATAATATTAGTAGTGAGAATTATTAAAGTAATCACTAGATAGATTCCCCTTTAAACTCGTCCGATTGTTTTACGACTCATCAAATGTGTGTGTGTGTGTATGTGAGAGTGAGGCGTGTCCGGTACTCATTTGTCTATTTATTTCTGAAGATGTTCTATGGTAGATTAAGGCAGATCAAAATTTAAAAACAATTAAATAAGAAAACTTTAAGTATCTCAATTCACTGTGCTCTATTGTTTCACATTGTCTGGACCCTACCACCCTCGACCTGGAGTGAATTCCTTCTAACGCTCTCCGCAACCTGATTCGATCATCGTCCACGATTTGTGCTCAACTTGGGGTGCCTTAACCTGACACGAGACTGTCTCATCACCACCTCGTATTGTTAGTGAGTCTCTTGTTGTCACCTGTTGTGCACAGTCGAAGTTCACTTGGGTATAGTGAACACTCTAGGCTGTGAGTAGGGTGTGGTTTCTCGCTCGGGTTAGCTAGATAAGCACCAGGTCCCTTGTTACGGTTGAAACTTTTATCATGGTTATCTGCTTACCTAACCCGCTTCAAAGAATAGTGCGTGTATCTGAGACAAATTAGGCATTGGTCCAGTGTCATCATCGCTGGAACCTTTTCCATTCCGAATCTCCCACATGTCACATCGCTCCACAACTTATTATCCTGTGGTGATTCTCTACGAACATTTAGGCAGCATCGAAATCCAAACCTATCCTCCTCATGTGCCGGCCAGAAAATCACACAACCGATCGGGTTCATTTATCGATCGGCCGGGTGCTTCAGCCGCAGCAAGGGACCTGGAGCTTGCCCAGCTAACCTGATCGAGAAACCACACTTTGTTTACAGCCCTAAGACTCAGACAGGCCTAGTGAACATTGACTCTGCAGCAGGAGTGCCATGAGCCAACGGATTGGACTGGTCACG